AACTAAAATGTATTTCTGCCATCTTAAAGGGACAGAGGGGTGATTTTTAAAAGAATGTTATGTCATTTTTTTCCTTTTTTGAGCTTTATATCATGTTATAATGTCATTCCCTCGTCAAAAGCATACCCATAGGGTTGCTTTGACTCATTCCGGCTTGTTTGAGAAATTTTGGTGATGCCTAAATGCTTGCTGGTACAAAGCTATGCCTACAGAGCATCCCTCTCGTGGAGCATTGGTTACAAAGTTTATTCATTTCTTTAAAACACATTATATATATACAACAAGAAATACAAATCACAAATATAATGAAAGGCAGAAGAAACCGGCAAAGAATAGGCTAATTCTTTCATCCAGGTTAAGCTAATGGCTATCTCCCTTTTCTTTTTTTCCCAGCTTATAAAACAACTCGTTCTTCAAAGTGATACTAACGTGAAAAATGCTACATTAGCTAATATTAAACCTCTACACTTTCGCATGACACTGTTGCTGTTTTCTCAATCCAAACACTGATCTCCTGAGGCTACTAAATATATCAATCTGCCTGATCAGCACATCTCATCAGTCCAAAGTTTTAGTCAACTCTCAGTGGACTGATCCACTCAACAACCTCAGGAGACTGACGTTTGTGTAGTATCACAGGCAGCAATAAATAAAACAAACTGTCATGTGATTGTAAAGTTTTCACATGAGCTAACGTGGTGTTTTTTTTCTCACACGTATGAGATTTTCGACTAAGAATTGTTTCATAATCTTGGAAAATAATAAAAACTATTCTGGTTTGGCCAACCTTGAAGAAAGACTTCTGCCTTTTTTCCTTCCTGTGAATGACATCACCACTCATGGTATTAATAATTATCTGACAGAACATCCTTTCACAAATCACCAGACTTTCCCATTAAAGCAACAATCTGAAAAAATCCCACAGCAGTTCCTAAATTAGACTGTTTTATAAATCCTTACTCCACCATGACCTTGGAATTACACAAGTTTTTTGGCAGATGTATTCAGGTTATTTCAACCTGTGAACAGTTCCAGCTGCCATTTYGAATCAGAAGCCTTTTACAAGGTCCTTAAAACTCACTTCTTGGTCACAATTTTTTCCAAACTTTTCAATTGGTACTGAAATATTTGGCTATTTTGGTCAAATCACTTGTATGAATTTTACAATTGAGATTTTTAGAGCTGCAGATCTATCTATAACAGGTAAGATATTGATTTCCTATAGTTTCCCCACAGAAACTCTGGCCTGTGAGTTGAAGTAAGTGAAGTGACAGTGTGAGGAAGAGTAATTGGTGCACATTGTATAGAGTCAGAGGTAAGTGACATTCGACTAACACCCCCCCCCTCCCCCCCGGTTCTCCTCAGCGCAGGAGAACCAACTTTGTTAGCTCATGAATATTCTAATTAGACASCAGCACGGCGGTGGGGGATTAGCTTGAGTCTGAGAGCATGTGAGAGGATACAGAAAATAAATTTATGTCCTACACAGGCTCTTACAGCGTGTTCACTGTCAGCCCAGCGAGTGTGTAACATTCATGTCGTTGCATGACACGCACCACTTTAGCTGCGCGGATATCGAGCGCGACACCCGCGCTCTCATCCCCGCTGTTCCCTCGGCGCGAGYCCGCAGTTGCGTCGACGAGGAGCATATGTGTGCGTGCACGCGGGCGCCGCTCGTCCRCGCCGGCGACCTTGACAGCAGGTGGGTGAACTCCCAGGTGTGCCCCAGTTTTGGGGGCGCGGGGGGGGAGGGGTGATCACGGGCAGGTGGGGCCGCTCCTGGCTTGCCGCGTCCAGATTAATGAGCTTCGCCTCACTCACATCAGCTGCTGCGGCTGCTTTTCGAGCCAAGCTGGAAACCGGGACAAAGTCCTGGCGCGCATTCACTCCACTCGTTTATATTGTCCCACAACGGTGCAACACTATTATGCCGTGCCAGCTCCATACAAAATTTGGATAAATGCGAGGCACTGATGTATTGTTTCTCCTGGCATAAAAGCTGGGTTTTGTTCTTGAGATGTTAACAGTAATTATTCTCTAAATGCATTTGAGTCTCTGTTGGTAAAAAACCGTTGAAATTTCCAGGTTTAATGCTTGTAATGACCAGTGGGACCTCTCAGAATATAAACATTATGAGACACGCTCAGCGGTGTAGTTAAATCAGCCGGCTAAGTTACGAGGACGAGAAAAATCCTAATAATGATGGCACAGGAATTTGTACGATTTCCTCGTTTCGTCAGATTTTATTTCCATTACGTTGCAGCGCAGGAAGACAGGGATAGGTTTGTGTATCCGTGTGCGAGAGAGAGAGGGGGGCTCAGAGTAACCGGACGCAGCACAGGATAAACAAACGTTGACCTCGGTGACCTCCCTCATTAGCAGGATGAGATTGGAAGACGGAGCAGGGACGGCGTGTGCCGTGGTGCTGCCGGTGTGTGGGTTGGCAAACAACTACTGAAAGCAACACACACACACACATACACACGTGGATGAGACAAAGGAAAACAATGAAAAGAAGCGTCTCACGACCTGACCAGCAGAGAGGGGCTGGATTTATGTGGCCATTAGCTCGGTCCTCGCTCTCCACTCAGATAAGCATGAAATATTCCACAGCTGCTCTTTTAGAAAGGCAAGAATTTGTTCAAATATCTGCTACTAATGAGCAAATGTTGTCATTTTATTCAACGTGATTCAAATGACTGAACGCTTTCTGTATTTTGCTGCAGAAAAAACACAATTTTTAGGATCTCTGGAACAGTAAAAATTTTCAGGTGAACCTTTTTATTTGGTTGCGTTTGTGCATTAAAAACAACATTTGAAAGAACCTGTGCTGTGACATCATCAAGACTGTTCACCATGGTGCACAACTGAGTGCAATAAGCTTAGTGTCAGTATATAAAGTTTGTTGTGTAGCTTTAATTCTCAGGAAAAGGTTAGAGTGCACCGCATCATACTAGAGACTGAGTTCTGAGGTCAGAACTCTGAGCCACCAACACACTGACCCTCAGACCGAACCTCCAGTGGCTCATCTCAAACTTCAGTCAGCAGGATTTCAGGAGGCAGGTGATCAGGAAGTACTTACAGTAACGTCTTAAAAAACAAGTAAAGACTGTAACGGGTTCTGGTTGTGTGATTTCTGTGTGGACTGAGGCGTCATTACRTTTGTGACCAACCTGTTGCTTTTACACTTTTGAAATGCCAAGCGAGGTACTGAGGTAGTCATTTTGTTATTTTATGAAGATGACAAGTGACACACAGAGGTTTGTGGGTGGTCAGACTCAAACTAGAGTGTGATCCATAAGCGGGACAACCCTTATCATAAAAGTAATCTATCACTGGACTTAAAGGGGCAATATTATGTGTTTCTCAGGCATACATTTAAATACTATACCATAATAAAGTATCTATGTCACCTTTAGCTGTTATTAAAATGCTGTTTTTATGTTTAAAAAGAAAATAAATTTTTCTTCTCATCACTTCGTCTTCTAAACGCCTCAGAATTGGCC